CGTGGCAAGCTAGGGGGCCACATGCGAACCCTACCCCTACCCCCCACGATGTTTGAGGGGGGGGGATGGGGTTCACCTTGCTCGGGAGCTCCCGAACGAAGTGAACCCCACCCTCCCCCTCGGAAATCGTGGGGGGTAGGGGTAGGGTTCGCATGTGGCCCCCTAGCTTGCCACCGAACCCGTCTTGCAACAGGTGATTTTTGGCTTCGGTGGCAAGCGGCCCTCAAGCGCCCTCAAGCGCCATCGGAGCCGTAGACCCCTCCTGGGAAGGGGGCAGTCACGGCACCAGGAAGACTTCAACGACCGACCCTCTGGAGCTCACGGAAGACGAAGCCAACCCTTGGGAATGAGACCACGGCGCCAAGACACGGGGTGCTCAACAATGCCATCAAGGGCATGCTGGCAGAGCTCATTGCGCATGGCAATACTTTCACCAGAAGAAGCCCCTCTGGAGCTCATGGAAGACGAAGCCAATACTTGGGAATGAGACCACGGCGCCAAGATCAAGGGCATGCTGGCAGAGCTCATTTCTCATGGCAACACTTTCACAAAGAGAAGCAGCGGGACCAGCGCAGCTCCGAAAGGCATGACTTGACGAGTCAGCAGATGACCGACACTGCCAGCAAGAGGATGAGGGGCAATTTCAGCGGAGCGCTTGCGTTCCTCAAGCAAATTTCCACCGCGGGCTACTGTCCAGATGATATGGGACAGCGCCATACTACCGTCTTTCGCAAGACGCTGTAGAAGACCCGCCACGCGCGCCCCTTCGACGCAATTATCCGCGCCACCTCCATCGTCAGAAGACGCGGCGACACCCCGGCGCGCTGCATCGAGATGGGCATCAACGGCCTCGGGGAGAGATGATACAGGACCCTCGTCCGCGCCCACCACCCGTCAGACTTCCCTGGTGGGCTCGTGCACCTCAGTCGGCGTAGGGCACCGCCAGCTGGGAGATATCAGCGCGGCTCGGAAAGCCCGCATCGGACCTCGAACAAATCCCCATCCACGTTGCACGAGATCAAGCGACTCATCCCAAGACTTGAGGATTCAGCCAACCAGAGTGATCAGCAATGAAAGGACCCCTAACCCTTTGGGAGTGGACCCAAGTTAAGAAGCCCAATACATGAGAGATAAGGGTATTTCTGCGCAAGTGTATCAGACCAAACCACCCAAATATATGATCCGTAATGCAAGCACTGGGATATGAGTTAGGATACGTCTTCATTGTGTTTTAGGGTTAGGGATTATGATATGAAGGGGCCTTGGGACACACAAATAAACAGGCACAAATAGAAGGATTCCCCATATTTTCCCATATTTCCAGGTTTTCGTCTTCCCCCCCACTTCCCGTATGTTTCCACATTTTCTGGGGAATCGACGATTGATTGTGTCTGTGTTTTTTTCCATCCGATGACAGAGGCCCCCCCTGGCCGCTCCACCACCATGCGAGCCTGGCGACCCCCCTCAGGAGCGGCCTAGAGGGGGGTGGGGTGTCCAAGAGGGGGGGTGCAAATCATGACCGGCGGCATGTGCGCGGCCCAGCGGGGAGGCCAGGGACGTAATGAAATAAGAAGAGGCGCCATGAGATCTGGGGAAATACCATGGCCCCCGCCATGATATCCACCCCCCCCTAGTCATCACCCCCCTCTTTTCCGCCCCCGACCCCCGCCACGCGAGCCTGGGGCCGCGCGCGAGGCGAGGGGGCGCGCGCGGGGCGAGCGCGTCGAACCGCAGAGAGATCCGTCGGGAGCCGAGGCCGAGGCCAGGCAGCCGCAGGACCCCCGGATGCCACCGCAGCCTTGCGACGGGCCAAAACCTGGGGGAGCTGTGGTCCTTACCCCCCTGGGGGAGCCCATGGATGTCGACGATCTCTCGAGAGGGAGGAGGAGGAGGAGGAGGAGGAGGAGGAGAGGAGGAGGAGAGGTAGGAGGAGAGGAGGAGGAGGAGGGGTGTCAAAATCGATGGGCCCCCCAGGGGGTTAAGGACCACAGCGCCCCCAGTTGTGGCTGGCCTGTCCTGATAGGTCGCGCCAGAGGCAAGCTCCCGACAGAGGCCCGCAGGCCAGGCCAGCGCAACGCAGCTTTCCTCAAGGGGGAGTTGGACCTGACACCTGCCAACGCCCGTCAGAGGAACTCGGAAGCAAAACAGGCAAGGTACCAGCAAGGGACACATGCCTGCCATACAAGCCACAAGAAATATCATCAACCCATTTCCGCAAGGACTGCCCGGACATGGATTTGGAGGCAGCATCGAGTGGGGCAAACAAGAAAGTCGAAACCAACAAAAAGACGGCCTGGCCACAGCCTAAAAGAATGCCTTGACTCGGCACAGCGCCCGTCTGGATGCAACCTGAAAGCATCAAATCCATACCCAGTAAATACCCCAGCAAAGCAACCGAACAGCGATGTGTAGAAGCATATCTGGAAGCATTGCTTTGAGATTCGTGTAGGAGTCCTGTTGTGGAATTCTGGTGTAATCGCAGTCGCAGTCACAATCGCAATGGCAGTTGCAGCGGCAGCGGCAGTCGCAGTCGCAGCCTCAGCCTCAGCCTGCCTCAGCCTCAGCCTCTGCCTAGTAGTAGTAGTAGTAGTAGTAGTAGTAGTAGTAGTAGTAGTAGTAGTAGTAGTAGTAGTAGTAGTAGTAGTAGTAGTAGTAGTAGTAGTAGTAGTAGTAGTAGTAGTAGTAGTAGTAGTAGTAGTAGTAGTAGTAGTAGTAGTAGTAGTAGTAGTAGTAGTAGTAGTAGTAGTAGTAGTAGTAGTAGTAGTAGTAGTAGTAGTAGTAGTAGTAGTAGTAGTAGTAGTAGTAGTAGTAGTAGTAGTAGTAGTAGTAGTAGTAGTAGTAGTAGTAGTAGTAGTAGTAGTAGTATTAGTAGAAGTAGTAGTAGTAGTAGTAGTAGTAGTAGTAGTAGTAGTCCTCGTAGTAGTCGTAGTGGTCGTAGTAGTCGTAGTCGTAGTAGTCGTAGTAGTTAGTAGTAGTAGTAGTAGTAGTAGTAGTAGTAGTAGTAGTAGTAGTAGTAGTAGTAGTAGTAGATGTAGTAGTAGTAGTAGTAGTAGTAGTAGAAGAAGAAGAAGAAGAAGAAGTAGTAGTAGTAGTAGTAGCAGCAGCAGCAGTAGTAGTAGTAGTAGTAGTACAAGTAGTAACATGCAGGCGCTGCAAGGCGTGTCTGTATCCGTGTTTTCATCGCTCTGCATTCTCTCCCTAATGCGTTGGTCTGTGCCATCGTTTGCACAGCAGCAAAACTGCATACAGGATGCAGGCTGAGGCGCCACGTATCTCACTACCCACGGCTACACACGAGTGCAGGCTGAGAAGCACCACACAAGTGCAGGCTGAGAAGCACCACACGAGTGCAGGCCACGACATTAGAGAACCCGGGAATCTCAGCCTGCCTCAGCATCAGCCTGCCTCAGCGTGTGCAGCCTTAGTCTGCCTTCAGCCTCGGCCTCAGCCTCAGCCTGCCTCAGCCTCAGCGTGCATCAGCCTCAGCCTCAGCCTCAGCCTGCCTCAGCATCAGCCTGCCTCAGCGTCTGCCTCAGCCTGCCTCAGCCTCAGCCTCAGCCTCAACATCAGCCTCAGCCTCAGCCTGCCTCAGCCTCAGCCTGCGTCAGCCTCGGCCTCAGCCTCAGCCTGCATCAGCCTCAGCCTGCATCAGCCTCAGCCTCAGCCTCAACCTCAGCCTCAGCCTCAGCTTGAGCCTGCCTCAGCCTCAGCCTCAGCCTCAGCCTCAGCCTCAGCCTGCCTCAGCCTCAGCCTCAGCCTCAGCCTCAGCGGTGGATTCCCCATAGTCACTGGCGGCGCTGGGGGCCGCAGAATCAGCCTCAGTGGTGGATTCCCCACAGTCACTGGCGGCGCTGGGGGCCTCAGCCTCAGCCTCAGTGGTGCGTTCCCCATAGTCACTGGCGGCGCTGGGGGCCTCAGCCTCAGCCTCAGTGGTGCATTCCCCATAGTCACTGGCGGCGCTGGGGGCCTCAGCCTCAGCCTCAGTGGTGCGTTCCCCACAGTCACTGGCGGATCCGCGGATTCTCCCCGGATCCTGCCCGGATCCTGCCCGGACCCCCCTGGGGAGTCATGATGCTCTCTTTTGAGACCACTAGAAACCTATCAGTCTTCGCTGTTAGGTAATGAGAATCAAGGGCGAGGACAAGAATATTACGCGGGCAAGTAAGTTCGATTGCCGCGTCCACGAAACTGGCAAAGCTCACGGAGTTGTAAGCGTGGCAGGGAGGGAGGATGAAGAGAAGGAGTCAAATATGCCGCGCTCACGAAATAGGCAAAAGGGACAGAGAAGGAGGGATCAGGAGAGCGGGGACGAGGACGATGAGGGGAAAGACCAGGGAGAAAGGGGAGGAGGGGGCAGAAGGGATGAGGAGCAAGAGGAAGAATAGGAGCAAGAGAACGGAATGATAAGGAGGAGAAGGAGGAGGAGGGAGTACGATAAGAGGGAGGGAGGGGGAGGTGGAGGTGGAGGGGCAGGGGAAAGAGGGAACAGAAAGAGCAGGGGGAGTAGAAGAAGAGGGGCAAAGAGGAGCACCTATGAACGAGGGAGGAGAAGGAGGAGGGGGAAGAAGAGCCTCTCCTCGAGGAGGATGAGGACGAGAAGGACGACGACAACGACGACGTCGACAACCTCAACGACGAGGAGCCTCTCAAACGCCGATACCCCCCACCCGGGATAGACGTCGCTGGCCTCGGACCCGTCGCCGGCGGAGCATGGCCCCGAGGCCCTCGACTCCGACGCATCGCCGTTAGTCACCTCGCACTGTCGTCGTCATCGTTGTCGTGATTGCCGTCATCGTTGCCAGCCTGACGCATTATCACCGTCATCATCATCATCATCATCATCATCATCATCATCATCATCATCACCACTACCACCACCACCACCACCACCACCATCATCATCATCATCATCATCATCAGCATCAGCATCAGCATCAGCATCAGCATCATCATCATGACCATCATCAGCATCATCAGCATCATCATGAGCATCATCATCATAATCATCATCATCGTCATTGTCACCATCTTAGTCGTCACATGTTTATCACTGCCATCAATCAATCATAATATACGTCCTTCTGATTCTCAACACCCTCCTCCTTCTCGTCGGCAATCTGATCCTCACCCCCCTCCCCATTCTTCACCCCCGCCTTCCCTTGCCCAGCACAAACATTGACAGGGTTCCAATGTCTGAGGCCTCATGCCAGCCGAAGGGAAAAAAGGAAAGCGAAACGCAACAGTTTTGGAGAGCACGCAAACCTCCGAGCCACGATACAGTCCCTCTCACCAACCTCAGCCAGTGATGGGCCTGTTTTCCACCACCACCACCACCACCACCACCACCACCACCACCACCACCATAAATTGGAGGGGGGAAGGAGGTGGAGGACGAGGATGAGGAGGAGGAGGAGGAGGAGGAGGTGGAGGAGGAGGAGGAGGAGGAGAAGGAAGGGGGGGGGGGAGGAGGAGGAGGAGGAGGAGGAGGAGGAGGAGGAGGAGGAGGAGGAGGAGGAGGAGGAGGAGGAGGAGGGGGAGGAGGACCCGCTCCCCCATGGTGGCGTTGGTGGTGGAAAACAGGCCCATCAGCCAGGTGTCGTCAAAAAAGGCTGCGGGGGGGCGAGTCTACAAGCCTCCATATCGACATTTGCTTCGATTTGGGAAGCCCTGTTGGTCGCGCTTTGAAGTCCAGGATCGGCCCGTGGCCCACCTGCAAATGCTCTTTCCGCCTCCAAAGTGGTTTGTAGCTGTTCTTGAATGCCACTTGGAGCAGCACGTGGGACATGTTCTGTGGGAAAAAACACACAGTGTGTTTTTTGTGTTTTTCCACCGTGTGTTTTTTGTGTGTTTGGTTTTCCACGTGTGTTTGCTTCCTGAAGAGTAGCATTCCGTTGACGGATATGCCCTTTCTCCGACCGTGTACTGCACCGAACGTAACGGCCGAGTTGTCTATAGACGGCTCCACCCCAAAGGTGTCTGTATGTGTAGCGAGATCCAATTTGTCTGTCTACGCTTGTGGCTGGAAAGTGCGAACGGTTTTTGGTATGGGTCCAGATACTGACCTTCTAGAAGCGGGTAGACCCTGCCCTCCAAGGTATCAGAATGCCGCATGCCTGACGTCCAATTTCCGGGCTGTCGTGTTTAGGCCGCTTTGGTCGAGTCCCGACTGAAAAGTGAAACTGGTGGGCAAATTAAGTCAACAAACTGACAACGCTTTGCAAAACAAGTAACCCCTCATCCTCCTCCTCCTCCTCCTCCTCCTCCTCCTCCGCCGCCGCCGCCCGCCGCCGCCTCCGCCTCCGCCTCCACCTCCGCCTCAGCCTCCTCATCCTCATCCCCATGCTCATCCTCATCCTCATCCTCGTCCCATCCTATCCCCCCCTCCCCTACCCCCCTCCTCGAGAAGGAAACGCCGCCGTCACCCGGCACACCACGCCCCTGGCGTCCGCCCAGCTGTCGCCAGTGTCGCCCGCGGGGTTGAAGTTCGCGTAGCCGTAAGACCTACGAATCGGCGGGGCGAGGTGAGGTTCTCCTCGTCCTCCTCCTCCTCCTCCTCCTCCTCCTGCTCCTCCTCCTCGTCCTCCTCCTCATCATCATCAGCATCATCAGCAGCAGCATCATCATCATAACCACCATCATCATCATCATCATCATCATCATCATCATCATCATCAGCATCATCAGCATCATCATCAGCCTCATCATCATCATCATCAGCATCATCAGCATCATCATCATCATCATCATCATCATCATCATCATCATCATCATCATCATCAGCCTCATCATCATCAGCAAAAATCATCACTTTCCTCCTCCGCACCCTCCTCATCCTCACCCTTTTTTTTGAATGGTCGATGACTGAGCTTTCCGGGTCGCACTTGGCCCAATTTGGGGAGCCTGGGGGGGGGATCCCGCTCCAGGAGGCACCTCCGCAAGCCCCTGGCCCTATCGTGGGCCGACGTATCTGGTCACCTCCCACCTCACCCCTATGTGGCGCTACCTCAGTCTGTGTTAAGTGTCCACAGGCCTGCCATACCTTTGGCCTGCCGACAAGTATAAGCAATCAGCCTCAGCCACACCAGCCAGGTGGCCTCGCTACCAGATGACTGCACGTACTGTGGATTGGGTTCGGCACTCGTTCCGCGGAGGTGGGAAGGTGGAGGACTACCATCTTTCAGGCCCCCCTGGATCCAGGGTGAGGCCCCACTTTAGCCATACCGCCATGCTTTTCTCGCGTTGCAGTGGACCTCACGCTTCTCACCTGCTACGATCGACGAGTCTGCCACACATTTTGCCTGCCAACACATGTAAGCCTCTAGCATTAGCCATACCGACCCGGCAGCCACCGCGATCATCGGCCGTACTATGATCGGGTGGAGGGGGCTTCGGGCACTTCTGGGACAGGTAGGGGGGATCGGGGGACTTCTGGCCATGTTGGCCTTCGGCGGAGGGGCGTCTGCCCCACTGATGGCCGCCGTGCTTCGACACCTCCACCTC